TGAGGTCTTAGCAAACATGGTCACATTTGAGGTCTTCGGATGCTTAGGGATTTGCAAACACATATTTCGCAAGGTGAATGGCGTTGTTTCAAAAACGCACATATTATGCAGGGTGTGTTTCAGCAACGACCCCTATGCTGTCACGCAAGCTTGCAGACGGCTTGAAACCGCGGTGGGGTTGGGGGAGGCAGCCCGCCACCCCCGCCCACATTTGCAATTATGATGGTCGCGTGGTCGGTTAAAGCAAAAAAAGAAACAGTGCTGTCAAGCAAGTGCGCACTCTCGCATGTCCGGCGCAGGTGCCCAATTGCAAGCACCCTTGTCACAAGGTGAATGGTGTTTTGTCTCTAAACGACTCATCTCAGGCATCGCGGGTTTCAAGAACGACTCCCAGGCTGTCATGCAACCTTGCGCAAGGCTTAAAACAGCGGGGGGTTGGGGGGGGGCAGCCCCCCCCATTTTCAATCACGATGGCTGGTTTAAACAGCGGGGGCGTTGGAGGGGGGCGCAGCCCCCCACATTTGCGATTCTATGATGGTCGCGTGGTCGGCTGAAACCAACAACGCATATGTGCTGTCAACCAAGTGCCACTCTCGCATGCCCGGCGCAGGCTCCCCGATTGCAAACACCCTTGTCACAAGGTAAAAATGGTATTGGGTTAAAAGGCACATCTCAGGGATCGCGGGTTTCAAGAACGACTTCTACGCCGTCATGTAACCTTGCACACGGCTGAAAACAGCGGGGGGGTTGGGGGGGGCGCAGCCCCCCCCCCCATTCGCAATCACGATGCTCGCATGGCTGGTGTTTACAACAAAATCATATGGGCGGCGGGGCGGGGGGGGGGGCGGGGTTTAAGGGGGCAGCCAGTCAGGATGCTCGCATGCTTGGTTTTAAATCAAACGCATATATATGCTGTCAAGCAAGCTTGGCACTCTCGCACGTGCGGGACAGGCTACTTCCCATTTGCAAACAATTTTTTCGCAGGGTGAATGGCGTTGTTTCCAAAACGCACATATCATATTATGCAGGGCGGGTTCCCCGAAACGACCTCTATATGCTGTCACGCAAGATCACGCAAGCTTGCAGACGGCTTAAAACAGCGGGGGGGTTGGGGGTACGCCCTCCCAACTACTAGTACTACTAGTACTACTAGTACTACTAGTACTACTCGTACTACTAGTACTACTAGTACTACTAGTACTACAAGTACTACTAGTACTACTAGTACTACTAGTACTACTAGTACTACTACTACTACTACTACTACTACTACTACTACTACTACTACTACTACTACTACTACTACTACTACTATAATACTACTACTACTACTACTACTACTACCACTACTACTACTACTACTACTACTATAATACTACTACTACTACTACTACTACTACTACTACTTGATAGAAACCTTAAATGAGCAACCTAAACGCCCAGATATTGTGTCGTTCCCGATACTGTTGTTTGCGAGGGCGGTCGTCCCCGGGGGCGCGCTTTTTGTTCGGCTGCCGTTGCGGGGGCGCGTTTTTTTTTTTGCTGTCGTTGCGGGGGTGCGTTTTTTTTTTTGCTGTCGTTGCGCGGGCGCGTTTTTCTTTTTTGCTGTTGGTGCGGGGGCGCGTTTTTTTTTTGCTGTCGTTGCGCGGGCGCGTTTTTTTTTGTTGCTGTCGTTGCGCGGGCGCGTTTTTTTTTTTGCTGTCGTGGCGGGGGCGGGGTTTTTTTTTTGCTGTCGTGGCGGGGCGCGTTTCTTATTTTGCTGTCGTTGCGGGCACCGGGGTTCACTCACTCACTGGCTTCCGGGGTCCGCGCCACGAGAACAAAAAAACATAAAGGCCACTACAGCAAAAAAAAACACGGGTTCCGTCCGTGAAGCAGACCCTACTACTTGGAGGATCAGGGGACTTAGTAAGTTAGGTTCTAAGTACCTTCATTGGGGTTATAAGTACTTATAAATATAGTTGCCTTAATTATAACCCTAGTTACTAAGTCCCATGATCCTTCAAGTAGTCCGTTTAGCTTACCCTACTATGGAACCCATTAGTCCCCTTAAGGGAATACTGGTACTAGCCCTTCCGACCGCTACACCACGGAAGCCGGAGCTCCGGCACAGTGAAATCCTCCGAGCCAACCCGAAAATCGAACCCGGAATGGAATAATTACCTACACTGTTTTCGGGTCCTGAAAACTTTCATGTATGATAAAACTCGAAAAAAAAACAACTGTTCTAACTAAGGCCCGTGCAGCGAACCCCAAACCCTGAAGTCCGAGGCTCTGGACCCAGGCAACAGGCATAAGCAGGGCATATAGGGTTTAGGGTTCGGGGTTTAGGGATCAGGGGTTTAGGCAAAAACCTGATACCCCAAAGCCACAGCACCGAAACCCTCAGACAGCCTGAGACCTCAAACACTACCTTGAGTCTCCATTGTAGCTCCTGTTTTTGGTTAAACAGTTTTATGGTTAGGATACTGTAGTAGAGATTTTGGTCAACCAGAAAAAGGAACTACAATGGAGACTATAGGTGAACCCTAAACCCTAAACCTCAAACCCTACAACCCTAAACCCTATACCCCAAAACCCTGAACCCTAAAACCTTAAACCCTAAAACCCTAAGCCTCAACCCTAAGCCCTACAGGGAGATCTCTCCCGTCCAGCAGATGAGGCACTTCTGCCCCGTGCCCACGAAGACAACAGGCTGACCTCGAGAGCGGGACAAAGAGGCGTGGAAAGGATCATCTCCATCCTCGCAATGGACCAGGGTTTTGGGGCCCATTAGACTATAACTGTAATAAGGAGCGCTCCAAAATAGTATAGGTAATGATTTAGGCAGATATCGTCGTCATCGCACATCTTTGGGAGTCTCTGAAGAATCCTTCCAGCTTCCCTGCCTTCTTATACTGACAGCTCAAGCTCCGCTTTGCGAAAGGACCCTAATAATTAGAACATAATTAGAATTTGGTTTTGGGGTCCATTGTACTATACTTGTCATAAGAAACCCGCAATATAATATAGGCATTATTGAGCACCCTAATGTGGAACCCTACTATAGATCCCTTGTAGACCCCTTCAAGGAACCCTCTAAAGCAACCCGCAACATAGTATAGGTAACTATTGAGGCCCCTATATGAAAAGCCACCCAAACCCTAAACCCCTTGACCCTCAACCCCTAAACCCTAAACCCCTGAACCCTAAATCCCTAAACCCTACACTTTCTAATCTATGGAGGCCCCGATATATTACCCTGGTACACCCACAGTGGCCCACAGTGGACGTTCGGCTATGGGGTTTGGACCTCAGGGATTTCTTGATATCTAGAGTTTTGGGAGTGTGGGGTTTAGGGTTTAGGGCTTAGGGTTTCGGGCTTAGGGCTTAGGGTTTAGGGTTTAAGGTTTAGTTTAGGGCTTAAGGTCTAGAGTTTCGGATTTCGGGCCGAGGGTTCGAGATTGGGGGGCTTACCTCTTCCAGGTATAGGGCTTTCTTGGGTGTCAGTGAGTCAGGGCGTCACCAAACACCAAACCCGAAATGCGAGCACCATAAGAAAGAACTAGGGTTTGGGGGTATCTATTATACCAAAGAAATAACAAGGAATCCCACAATAGTACAAGTAATTATGAAAGCCCCTATAATATACAGTGAGGTTGGGAGTGCAGGCTGAGTTGAACCCGACGCGGTTTAGGACTTGGGGGTTACGCTTGCGATTGCAAGTTCGTCAGCTGTCGCTGAGACGTGAAGCTTGCGAGCGTACACGTTCAACATTTGGGTGGTTGTCAAAATTAGGGTCTCTTTTTGGGTACCCCAAATATTATGTGACATTCTATATTAGGGGGACAAAAAGGGACCATAATTTTGACAACCACCCATTTGTAAGGGCTTTAGCCTTAAACCATAAACTCGTCAATACAGAACCTCTATAAACAAGCCCAAAACAAACCTCAAAGCTGTTTGCAGCAGTTTTCCAGCCTAGAGCCAAGTGCACAAACAATGACCCGTAAACCCTAAACCCCTAGCCAGCCCCGGCACCTGTCACGTAGACCATGGACAGCGCCGCACCGACCTAGCGAGTGCGATGCTTGATATAGGGGCCTTGATACTTAGATGCCTAGGCTTCCCGTCATCCGAGTAATGACGACTAATTTGATCAAGCTACCCTGAAACATCGACGTCGCCAAAGACTCTGAAAACAGCAAGGGCCATAGTAGAATAAATGTCATGCCAGAGTCGGTTCAGCCCACAGGCCCGAAAGCCACTACTTCATACAGCGAACCTCGTATATACAGTTTCAACAAGGGTTTAGGATGATTTGTGCTAGGATCCCTGGCACGCGGACTATAATGATCCCTTTTATGGCGTCTACTACAAATTGAAGGGTTTGTGGGTTTAGAGAGTGCAGTGGAAATTGCATCCGGGAACTTGCAGACAGTCCCCCCTCCCCTCCCCCCTATTCATTTTGAAAACCCACTGCGTCCCCTCCCTCGCTCATTGGGTTCAGGGCTTCGGGTGATATAAGGGCCCGGAACCCCCAAAATTGTATTGGTAATTATTTAGGCCCCTACAGTAACGCGCTGCCTTGTCATCGACGGTGTCGTACTTCGTCAGAAGCATTCCGTCGATCCCCCGCGGATTCCTGTGAAACGTTGCAGGATATAGGGTTTAGGGCTTACCTTAACCCTGAAGAACCTACCCTATTATGACTTCCTTAAAACAGTCCTTGAAAGGTAGGTTCTTCAGGGTTTAGGGCTTAGAGGTTTAAGGGTTTGTCAGGGTTTAGGTTCCTGTAGACGGTTCTTTAAAGGTTCTATGCTGAGGGGTCTGCACGGTTTCTAGGCGGGGCGAGGGGGGGTGGTGATATTGTAAAAGCTAAGAGGGAACCTTATCTAAGGGGACACTATTGGTCGTTCGGATCTTCTTCATAGGCTTCGGGCTTCGGAATTACACGTATGATTTTGGGTCCAGAGTTCCCTCAATCCTAAACAGGGTTCACTCCCAAAAGCAGCATTGCTGCCCAGCAGGTCCTTTGCCCCGCACCTGCAACCTCCTTACATCTCCATCCTGGTTTTGCACAAGAGAAGATCTCAAGCAAAACACACGGCACCCAGCCACGGCTCGGGGAAAACCCTCCCTCAAACCCAACACGTCAAAGCCTTGCATTGATTAGGGTTTAGCCTTAGGGTCTGGGGTTTCAGACACCACATAGCCAACAAGTCCTTGGATCCGCGGATAAGTCGACGAGCGACCGGTTAAACTTGGTGACCTGCGCAGAGGTCAGTGGCCCCAAGAGTTTAGGGCTTAGGACAAAGGAGTGAACCTGTCCTACCTACAATCTAGAATCACGGTCAAGGAAATGAGACCCGGAGAGCTTTTGAGTTTTTACGATTGAAAGATTGTGAGGAATCTGTCAAGTGCCGGAGCCAAAGAGAGGCTGAACAGAAATTTCAGAGGTGTGTCAAGGATCCCCTGTCTGAGTCAAAGAACCTTCCTGAGTCAAGAGATGTTGAAGTCTCCAAACTCTCTCGCAAGACTTCATACCACACCTTCCGAAACCTTTACATACATTCTTGTGAAGAACCAACGACTCTAAACACCACACGCGAAACCCTAAACCCCCTATAAATTAAGGAAGATTCCTCATTTTTATAAATTAAGGAAGATTCCTCATCTTTATAAATTAAGGAAGATTCCTCATTGTTATAAATTAAGGAGGATTCCTCATTCTTATAAATTAAGGAGGATTCCTCATTTTTATAAATTAAGGAAGACTCCTCATTTTTATAAATTAAGGAAGATTCCTCTTCCTTTAAAAAATCCCTTTCGGGTGGCCCTTCGGCCTGGTCGATGGCGTCGTTTCCAACAAGCGCCTCGCCGACGAAAAGCACCTGGGAAGCTTAATTCGAATTCGGGTTTAGGGTTTAGGGTTTAGGGTTTAAGGTTTAAGGTTTAGGGTTTCGGGTTTCGGGTTTCGAGTTTAGGGTTTAGGGTTTAGGGTTTAGGGTAATTGAGTAATTCGTCAATATCAGTCTTACCTAAACCCTAAATGAAAAACTTACTTGCTGAGTTCATAAGACCCCCCCCAAAGTGTACACTTTTGGGCTTTATAGTGGGTAGTGGTATCAAAATAAGTGTAAAGTGTATCCACTCAGCTACTACGAAGATGAGGTCAATATCAGTCTTACCTGAACCCTAAACCCCGAATTAAACCCTACACGCCTAAACTCTGAACCATAATGTCAGGCTTCAGGTTTGTCGATTGGGGTTTTGGGCTCTAAGCTTTAGGTCTGAAGTGATGTTTGGGGTCAGGTGGTTGGAAGTCTGGGGCGACCCCGCTGTCCCCTCTACCGAGTCCCGAGGCAAGAATCTCTGAAGGAGCGCGAAACCCTCGAACAGAGTAGAAATTCATATCTACGAGGTCAGGAAGTTTAGGTTTCTTTTGTGGTTTATGCCCCAGGGTTAAGGAAGGGTGTAGGGTTTAGGCTCTACACCCAGACCCCATGATCATGATCAGGGCGCGGAAAGCCCAAACCCTACATCCCAACTCATACATCCGAACCCAGGTGCCCATCGGATCTCTGGCACAGCCCTGTAGGAACCGTTTGATTTACCAACTAGAGGCCTCAAAGTTAGCATCGGGTTATATCATGTATATATATATATATATATCTAGTGTAGTATGAGTATACGAAGACTATGGCTACCAGAAATACTAATACTCTTACTTCGGGCCTATATGGTATGGCAGCACAACCTGGGTCTAGGTTACAGTGACAAGTGTGGCATGTGAGGTGTCGGGTTCATGCAAAGATCTGACCCTGCAGCATCTTCAAAGCCTAACTTCAGCACACCTGGAGGTAACTTCAGCACACCCTACTTGGAGGTTCATGGGTAGTTATACGTAGGGTTGTAAGTAGGGTAACTGCAATTAGAAGCCATATTCGGGGACTTATAACCCCACTATTACTTACCCATGAACCTCCAAGTACACCTCACTGGCCCAAAACCCAAGGAAATTAAAGTTGAAACTTTCAGAATCGACTACCTTGTAAGAACCCCAAAAGTTCAAAAGTTGAGTTTACAGCCAATAAGACACCAACCGGGCCCGGCACAAGATCAGGAGTGTTGATTGCCACCAGCTTGGCCAAGGCCCGCATCAGCGGCTCGTTGTCCTCGCGATCAGGGCTTCGAGTTTAGGATGGATCTAAACTTTGACCCTGTCCCCGAATTCCGAATGGTCATTGGCTCTTTTTGCCCAAGAGTCTTGCGGCCAGTGCAATAAGAACCGGCGGTTTCTTGATCAGATTCCTAAAGTGCCCCCCCAAAACCAGAAATCCTAAACCCGTAACCCTAAACTGCCCACCCCTGGAACCTAAATCCCCCTTCCAGAGCACAACAACCTAGCCTCCGGAGCAGAGGGACGCTGACTCTCGCAGCACCCTAGAAACCTCAATCCTACGGTTGATGACATAAATCCTGCACTACCTTAAGGACCCAAAACTATGGGAATTATGGGATATTCCTTATTATAGGTAAGGCAGGATTTATATCATCAACCGTAGTAGCAGAGTAGGGTTTAGCTAGGTGGGGCTTTTAGAGCCTTTGAAAAATACTAGTAAATCAGATCCTCTTAAGCCCAATAAGGGAAAATATAAAATGTCCCAAGCCCTACCTAGTTAGGGTTTAGGGTTCCCAGAGACTCCAATATCCCTTAATTAAGGAATATTCCTTAAATCATATTAGGGGTCCTACTATAATTTAAGGAATATTCCTTAATTAAGGGATATTGGAGTCTCTGGGTTTAGGCAGTTCAGAGTTCAGGGTTTAGGGGGGTCACCTTCACACTTTTTGGCATACTATGCTCCTCTAAAACACCCTGCATAAACTTTTGAACGCGAAGCCCTAAGATTTCGTTCCCCGCCTGCATCCGTCCTGCGGTATCTACAAGAACTACATCATGACCTCGGCGCCGAAGCTGCATGTTAGAGTACCGTAGGGGCCTTAATGATCAAAATGGGGTTTTAGACTGTCCCATAAAGCTTTGTATGGGGACATAAGCGCCCGAATGATAAGACGAGGGCACGGAGGTCTTCGCAAATTTCAGACCGTTCTATGACCGAGGTGTGAGTACGGAGCTTCAGATTTGGGGCATGGTGTGCATTGGGTTTTAGGGATGCATTGTAAGGTTGACGGTTTAGGGTCGAGGGCCTAGGGCCTAGGGATGCAGCACATGTGCTCATAATGCTTGAGGGGCAGGATCGTCGACCTCTCTCTCTGTCGTTCCTTCTGTCGTTCATTCTTTCTGTCCGCCTTTCTGCCTGCCTGCCTGCCTGCCTGCCTGCCTGTCTCTGTCTGTCTGTCTCTCCCTCTCTCTCTCTCTCTCTCTCTCTCGCTTTCTTGCTCTTCGGGCGTGATTCGCGAGCGTAACTGTCAACACATTTTAAGCATCGCAATGCCAATGGCTGCTGTTTTTCCTGTCTGCTCAACAATACTAACAAAGCAAGCACCGATGTCTGCGAGACCCTAAAACCTAAATCTAAGCCACCAACCTTGTGAATGTTCCCTGTCTTTGGAGGAACAAAGTAACTGGGGCCCGGGCCGTTCGCCTTTGCATGAGCGATTGCATTTTTTGCGATATCGGCTGGATCCTCGCAGGATTCAGCTGTTCTTTTTGGGGGCTTGTTATCTTAGGGCTTCATGTTTTGGGGCTTAGGGTTTTGAGCTTAGGGCTTCAGGATTTAAGGTCTTGGGCTTTGCTTTCGTCAACTTTCCATGAGGCCTCACTTTCGCGGACCCCAACACTTTCGGTTGTGCTCCTTGTCTGGGGCGTGGGCGATTTAGAACTTAAGCCGTCAGTATTTCATTTACCGTTTACGTAATCCTGAGATCAGGATTAGCTTCACTCCGCTAATAGCAAGATGCATACGACAGGTATCGGGTTCATTCGTGGATTAACACCGTTTTTGCCACAGTATCAACATTGACTCACTGTCGCAGGCGTTCATGGCTCGTGCGAGCGTGCCCAAACCACTGGTAGTTGCAGTTGCAGCTTTCCGCCAATTGTACAGCTTTCCGCCAACTGATCAGCACGATGCAGAAGGATGTCTGAGATTTCTAGCGATTCTAGCACAAGACTGTCACAAACGGTGATGCCTTGCACTGGTATTTGCAGGAGTTGTGCCTCTTTGCAGGACATAGTGTACAACGATATGGAGTTGGTGAGGATGATGAAGAACCCTGCCATCATCAATAAACACCATCATAAGAACGATGGTATTCAGACGTCTTCGTGACAACCCATGTTCGTAAGTCCTGTGCCCGCCACGTAAAACGTACTTGCAACAGCCCAAACGAACAGGGAAAAGATGCGCGCTAATCATATAGATCCCCATGAATCATTGCCCCTTTGCACCGAACCAGAACCACAAGGTTTAGATCCACAGGGCTTTTTCGACAGAGTTGGCTTTTAAAGACGTTTACAGACTTTTAAAAACTTTCAAATGCAAGAAAAAACATTCTAAAAACTTTTAAAAGACTTTAAAAGACTTTTAGAAACTTTTAGAAGACTTTTGCAAACTTTAAAAGACTTTTCAAAACTTTAAAAGGCTTTTAAAATATTTAAAAGACTTTTAAAAACATTAAAATACATTTAAAAGCTTTAAAAATACTTTAAAAGACTTTTAAAAGCTTTTAAAAGCTTTTACAAACTTTAAAAAGAATTTGAAAGACTTTTAAAGACTTTAAACAACTTTTAAAATTTTTAAAAACTTTAAAACACAAAAAAAAACTACATTTTTTAAGGTTTTTTCCAAGAAGACGAGGATGAAGAAGACCTGGCACAGGGTTTACAGTTTCAGGGTCTTTAGGGTTTGGGGTTAAGAAGGCAGAGTGCCATAGTATTAGGGGTTTGAGGGTAATGAAAGGGTTAGGGTTAGAGTTTCAGGGTCTTTATTATATTTAGGGTTTAGGGTTAGAGTTTCAGGGTCTTTATTATATTTAGGGTTTGGGGTTAGAAGGCAGAGTGCCATAGTATTAGGGGTTTGAGGGTAATGAAAGGGTTAGGGTTAGAGTTTCAGGGTCTTTATTATATTTAGGGTTTGGGGTTAGAAGGCAGAGTGCCATAGTATTAGGGGTTTGAGGGTAATGAAAGGGTTAGGGTTAGAGTTTCAGGGTCTTTATTATATTTAGGGTTTGGGGTTAGAAGGCCGAGTGCCATAGTATTAGGGGTTTGAGGGTAATGAAAGGGTTAGGGTTAGAGTTTCAGGGTCTTTATTATATTTAGGGTTTGGGGTTAGAAGGCAGAGTGCCATAGTATTAGGGGTTTGAGGGTAATGAAAGGGTTAGGGTTAGAGTTTCAGGGTCTTTATTATATTTAGGGTTTGGGGTTAGAAGGCAGAGTGCCATAGTGTTAGGGTTTGAGGGTAATGAAAGGGTTAGGGTTAGAGTTTCAGGGTCTTTAGTATATTTAGGGTTTGGGGTTAGAAGGCAGAGTGCCATAGTATTAGGGGTTTGAGGGTAATGAAAGGGTTAGGGTTAGAGTTTCAGGGTCTTTAGTATATTTAGGGTTTGGGGTTAGGAGGCAGAGTGCCATAGTGTTAGGGTTTGAGGGTAATGAAAGGGTTAGGGTTAGAGTTTCAGGGTCTTTAGTATTTAGGGTTTGGGGCTAGAAGGCAGAGTGCCATAGTTTTAGGGTTTGATAGTATTAGGGATGCACAAATCACGTGAAGTGGCTACGAACTGCTGGATGTTGCGCTTTTCTGCGTTGACCACACTGTCAAGCGAATCACGTGCAGGCGAAGCAGGGTACAGCTGGGTGACGCGACAACGTCTGGCACTCTGCCTTCCCAGCTGCTGGCACTCTGCCTTCCCGCCTCAAGATCCATTAATTATTGCCACCCCAACTTTGCACAAAGCTGGTCGGTCAAAGGTATTGCTCCAGCATCAAGGTCAGGAAGTTCCCCCGGACCACCGAGACGGATGGCAACAAGTGAGAGGGGTTTCATCTGAAGGACAAACTGACGTTGTTGTTCATCTTCGTCGTTCCAAACATAAACAAAATCACAAACGAGAGAAACGCGCGGCAACTCCAGCGGTTCTTCTCCTTCACCCACCTGATAACACTTCGGGAAGGGGCCTTCGTACCGTCGAAGAAGCCTGAGGCCTCCTGTAATGCGGGAGCCAATACGTGGCCAGTAACGCAGGTAGCGAACCATGATTTCCCAAGGCACGTCGTCATAAACTTCATTCCATCTCTCAGCTGGTTTCCACTGGTCAGGCGCTTTGGCCAATTTTTCGCAAGCGGTTTTGATCAAGATTGGGGAGAGCTCGCCTCTGAAGAAACACTCTCCTCGTTCGATCGGGGCGAAATGCATTGCTCTGGACGGCTACTGTTCAGTCACAAGCACGCACGGCTTCAAACCACATGTGCTAGTTTGTGCGGCTTCCGGGTTGTGGCACTCGAAATGATTGTCCATGTGCTTGCACGTGACAAATTCCACATGTGTGAAAATGCGAACATGCTTTCGCAATCCGTCTTCCCCAAGCAGAAACACACAGTCTCTCGGACGCATTCCAATCTAGCAGGACCCGCTGCCATCAATGCAAGCACACAGACAGACACACAACTTTTCTTTGCAGCGCAGGATGAATCCTCTAGTTGTTGCCAGGCCTCCTGGTCGGGCCACAACAGGGCCTATGGTCAATGACGTGTTGTCTGGCCTGCGCTTCTGTCATCTTGGAAGCCACACGTCCCCAGTGATAGGGTACGAGGTGGCTCCACTCGCCTTCAATGCCAGACACACATGGGTTCATGTAATGTGACACAACACACAGCAGATCAGGCAACCACATCGAAGCTATAACAAATGTTCCGAATCTTTCCAAGAGACCGCCGTCTGTCACACGAACTCGGAGAAACCATTTTGCTTTGTCAGTGCCACCAGGATTCGGGTCGTACTTCATCTCACCAGCGATCTTGGGACACTCCGGGCATTGAACAGGTGTCCATACCCCTTGGTAGTCAACACGGTTCGGCCGCCGCTGATGTTGGGGGCCACGGACTGCAACCTCCCGTGGCTCGAGTGCTGGGATAGGCACTGCAGGCACCTCCGGCATCTCAGCAGGAGGGGCTGGCACTCTGCCTTCCTCGGGCTCCACGTGATCATCAGGCTCTGGGACAGGGATTGCAGCAGGCACCTCCGGCATCTCAGCAGGAGGGGCTGGCACTCTGCCTTCCGCGGCCTCCACGTGATTATCAGGCTCCGGCTCCACCGGCACCTCAGCAGGAGGTGCTGGCACTCTGCCTTCTGCTCCCTCTTGACCACTTTCATCAGGAGGCGCGGGTTGCTTCCTGGGCAACATACGTGGGCGACAAATCTTTCTCTTGGCTTTCCGTTTGGCCTGTGGCTTGGCCTTTGCTTTGGTCTTTGCTTTGGCCTTGCCCTTTGCCTTGGCCTTTGCTTGCTGCGTCTTGATGGCCTGCCAGGTTTGATGCACCCTTTTGATTCTGCGTTTTCTGACTGCGTCTGAGACCATTTTAAATTCCTGTTTGTCCTCAGCAAGCAGGTCGTCAAGAACCAGCTCATCAACAAAGTCCCCCATGATAATGTCATCCTCATCCTCATCCTCTGTTGAATCTTTGGCTGTCGAATACATAGCCTCAATTTTGCGCATGAAATCCTCATCTTCCGGAAGGTGATGAGAAGCGATCAGGCTCATGAGCTTTGGACGGCGCATTCGTTGCAGCTCCTTTCGCTTTTTTTCGTCTACGTTTCCAGTCTGGGAGATCACATGCTCGGCGAGATTCTGGCAGTCTGCGAGAGTCCGACATGCTTGTGACATTTCCCTCAGTCGAGTCAGCAAAAACAAGCACAGCAAAACTTATATAAGTTTATTGTACTATTTACTGTATGGGTCGACAGTTGACAGAATCCTAAATGAAAACATGTCACTTGGGATGCTGC